TTTTTAAATTTTAATAGAAAGAAAATTTAATTAATTATAATAGAAATAACTATAAAAAAATTATAATAACAGCGTGAGCTTTAACAATTACATTATAAATCTGATCATCTTCAATTAAGGCACCCCGATAATCCAATTTAGCTCAAATTAGAAATCAATAAGGGTTCCAATATCTCAATGGTAAGCATCATGAACGATAACACATATTACAAATAAAAATATTGATTGAATCTCCATTGCTAAGAGATCATGTATTGTGGAGCTTTAGATATTTTAAACGTATTCGTGACAAGCGTAACAGAAACATAACATAAGCATAAGATATATTTCAAAGTCTCATCACTGTTGGTCATTTATAGCCAGTAGTGACTGCAGTGATATGAATTCCCAACGCGAAGAATCATACGATATTTATTTGTACATAATTATTTAGGATTTCTGTAATGCAATAGTCCAAAAATATTCTTCAAAGAAAAAATTTCTTCTCAATATATTATAATCAGCTCGATCTAAGGTCTACAAAGAACTTATTACTTACTATACACTATAACTTATATGAATTATTAAATATGTTTAAACTATATTTATATTCTTACTTTCTATTGCTTCGAATATTATTATCTCAGGAATCCGTATAGAATTTGTACCTTATAATTATATTGCTTTATATTTGACTTAAGATATAAGTGAATAATTTAGCTTTAAAAATCTTGAAAAATCATAGTTGATGCCTTATGCCTTGCAGCTATTTTTTGGTATCTATATATGCAAAATGTTTTTTTTAGTTTTAATTTAAATGGATCATATTTCTACCGAATTAAACTATATAGTCCAATTAGGTATCAAAATATTAGTTTTTTTATTGGTTATTCTCACTGGTATGTAATTACTTATTAATTTTTAATAATTATTTTCACTTGTCATTCCTTTGGTTAACTTTTGTTTTACATCCTTGTAAGTTAACTATATAAAGGAGAAGAAAAATCATTTTTAATTAAGTGTCTTCTTCAGTGCAATCAAAGTTCTTTCACCTGACTTAAATACAAATTAATTAACTTTTAACTTTAAATATACAAAAAAAAAACAAAAAACAGCGAATGAAAATGCAATCTTCTTCTTTATTACATAGACAAACGCGTCCTAGATGCACCTGTTGGTGAAGATGCGCCAGGCGAAATGGGAAAACCAGTTACACTGCCAGCAAATATGTCAGTCGAAATGAAAAAAGCAGTCGATGATGGCTGGACAAAGAATGCATTTAATCAATACGTATCAGATTTGATCTCAGTACATCGCACACTGCCCGACCCACGTGACGCCTGGTAAGTTCATTTACCTACATGTGTTTTCACACGTGTGTAACTATAAGATAATAGTCGTATTTCCTGCATTTATGACCATTCAACATGCCCACAATTAAGTTAATTTTTTTTCCTCATTTAAGTAACAACTTTTTCTTTTTTATTGCATTAAATGCATGTTCCGCATGCGGTCGACTGGCTGTCCAGTAAATTAATGATTTATTTTATTGCTTTTATTTTCACAGGTGCAAAGAACCGGGACGTTATCTAGAAGATCTACCAGCCACCGATGTCATAATTTGTTTCCACAATGAGGCATGGTCAGTGCTGCTGCGTACAGTGCATTCAGTGTTGGATCGCTCGCCAAAGCATTTAATTGGACACATTTTACTTGTGGATGACTTTTCAGATATGCGTAAGTATAGTAGTGTGGCAGTATGGCACTATGGCAGTTCTTATAATCAGCCAAGCAGCAGCCACTAAAATAAGCTGAAGTTTGAGTTGATGGCACTAGTAGTGGCATTGGCAGTGGCACTAGTAGTGGCAGTGGCAGTGGCAATTGGAAACGCCAACTGTGATTGATGGTTACGCTGTACTCGCTCTCAGCGCGTGTTTTGCATTTTAATTTAATTTTATTTTAATTTTATTTTAATTTATTTCTTTTTTATTTTCATTTAACAATTTATTGTGGCTGATTTTCTCGCTTATTGCTTGTCTGATTTGACCGCTGTTTTTTTTATTGGTTTCCTTTTAATGTACAATATATCTTTTCTCTGTTTACTTTTCATTCACCTTAATCAGCTCACACTAAAAAACAGTTGGAAGACTACTTTGACGCATATCCAAAGGTTAAAATAGTGCGCGCACCGAAGCGTGAAGGCTTAATACGTGCAAGACTGCTTGGTGCACGTTATGCTACATCTCCGGTGCTGACCTATTTGGATTCGCATTGCGAGTGTACGGAAGGTAAGTTATTTGGACGAATTTCCTTTGTATATTGACTCTACTCCTTTTCTGCTTTTCTGGTTGATTATTTTTATAATGAAGTGCAGTACTTGCGCACGGAAGAGCGATTCCTAAAGGTGAAGTGCTGAATGAGTTGAGAATTGTTTAACTTTTTATGAGGTTGTTAGCTTAACTTTACGGTTTTAAAAAGCCTTGGGGAATTGTTTATGGATGCGGTAATAAATTTCAATGTATTTCAATTATTGAAGAAAACAAAATCCAAAGAAAAAATTAAAGAATGTTTGCTTTTTAAATTAAATACAATGCACTTTTGAGTGAAGTAACAAGATTTTCGATGCAACATTTAGAAAACAAACTGAAAATTCAGTTTAATCGGTTTAGTATAAATTTGTTTGAGATTTGTTATATATAACAATAGAATATTATGATAAATATTGTAGCAAAAAGAGAGAAAAGGATATATGAAGTTTATGAGGAATGAAAAATAAACACTGTATTATTAAAATAGTATTAAAAATTCTTAGTTTAAGTTCGTAATAAGAGAGTTTTCAATTGTAAAACTGTTTTCTTGTCTTGGATAATCATATTAAATAACAATTTAAAGAAAAATAAAAACTTACCAAAATGTAACATAGTTACTTATATATGGTTCCTATGGTTACTTTTTTTATAACAATCTTAAAAAATATGAACGGTATTAAAAATGAACGAATTGTAGATTTCATATAAGCCGATCATAAATTCTTCACAATTCTTTATTGACCTTAAAGTAAAAAAAAAATTGTATCATAAAAGATTTAAAATTAGAAAAAATTTTTTTTGTATAAAATACTATAGATCAAACAAATAAATCATTTCTAGTTCAAAATTTATGAGATAATGAAAGAAAAGGGGACTGAGTATAGTTCATTACAAAATATAAGCTATGCACATAATGCAAGGAAGAAATTTTTAAAAATGTTAAAAAAATGTATACATTCGGAACATTTGTATATATATGTAGGAAAGTAGGTATGACAGTGGCGCAAAAGTAATCAAAAGTAGTAGAGTTGCGCCGCTGTCATAAGAAAAGAGCGCAGGGCAACTCCGTTGCTTTCGGAAGTGCCAAGAAAGTTGTTTCGTGACTACACACAGAGTGAGTTGATGGTAGAGTCTTGAGAGTTGTGGTTATAGATATGTGGAAGTAAGTTGAGTAGAGATGAAAATAGTTTTGATGTTAGATGAGATATTGGTAGAACAAAAAACAAAACTAATTGAGTGCCAAGCGAAATTGTTAAAACCTACATATATAAATAATCATTGGTTAATATTCTTAACTGTATTAAATACTTTAACATTTATTAAATAATTAAAACATATTTGGAAATTGTTAAAACCTACATATATTTTTTTAAGAGTTAATAAAATTATAAGACTCTCTGCCTCTATACATACAAATTTGCTGAACCGTATTGCCCTGAGCACTCTGTATTGACTGTTAAAAATTAATATTGTTGGATTAAGTTTTACTTGAAGCCACACTAAATGAATTACGCAGATTATAAATTCGTGTATATATTCGAACTGTACTTGGTAGTGCCTAAGTAACAAAATTCTAAAAATTACAAAGAATTAATTTGTATTGTACTGTAACATGTATTGGTTTAGTTTTGTTTTTAGCTGCTTTCAAAGCAAAATATCATTTCAATTTTAAAAATTAACTTAACTATACGAAACTCATACTTTCTAGTGAGTCCAGACACCAAAAAATAAATTTGTGCTTGTTTTTTGAAAAAAGGGTAAGAAGTTCATTTCTGATGTTGACTGCAGAAATACACTATGATGTATAAAATATACTCATATCAAATGATATATAAAATATTATACTCATATCATATGATATATAAAATGTCACACTCATACAGAAAATATTCCCAATATAACACTTTTTATTATGAGATGAAAAAAACCAACAAAATGTCTTCTTCTAGTTTTTAATTTTTCTTCTTTCACACCCTACATTTCCGAGAATATTGAAATCAAATTTTCCCTGCAGTTTCATTAAATTTTTTAGATCGGGGAATCACTTTCTGATACTAGTGTAACTGAACATGAAACATCGTATGTATTTGAGTCCCATATAATTAAATTTAGTTACATATTTTTGGTTCATATTCATTGGCTCAGTTAAAATCTGCAGCTTATGATGAAGGTAGTCAAAAATCAATTGCATCACACATTTAAAATAATTATGCATTTTTCGAGATGACTGATTGATGTTTTGTGAAGCGAATGTGTTAAATACTTCGACCCGAACAAAGCTCAATGCATTCACCCGTCGACTGAATGCACTTTAAAAATCAAGCTGCAAATAACACAACATTAATTTGCATTTACCGAAAAGTAATTAATTTTTTAAAAAATTACATATTAAATTACCAATTTTATACTTTTTTATATGATTTTTTTATTCAATGCTGCAGAAATATTTACACATTTTTAATTTAAATTTTACTGCAAATATTCGTAAGCAAAGGACACATATGCGGTATGCCATGTGAAATATTCACTGAATACATGAATGGCAAAATTGTCATAAATATAATTTTCAATTTTCGTAACGTGTTATTAAACTCTCCTGTCGTCCCGCATAACTTTTATATGTGCAATGTACGCATATTGCATCTGAATGAAAATTAAGGCACGTAAACCCTATATGAGCTCATAATGATATATCGATGTTGTTGCTGTTATTATTACTGTCGGTTTCGCTGTTTTGTGAATTCAGAAAAATATTTTGATATATTTAAATTTAAGCACACAAGCCTGCCATGGATTTTGAATGCGCCGTAAAGGAAATAAAAATAAACTTGATAAAAATTTACAAATTTTTTATTTATTAACAATGAGCCCATTCTTTACACAGGAAATGAAATCAGTTTAAAATTAATAAGCTTACGAACTTTGAAGTCAGATAAAGATTAAAGAATTTATACATTATATTTCATAAAGACCACAGCACTTTTTGATAAAGAAGTAAAAAGATCAGATAAAACTTTATTGCAATTGTCATGTATTAATCAAATCAAAGAGGATATTTCTCTTTACTAAACTCTGAATAAAACATATTAAAATGCATGCATAATATGGTGTTCATACCGACACATATCTTTCGTTCGAACACGCTCTTTGCAACTCAACAAAGTAAACTTGTTTGAAAGGGTAATGCAGTGCGAATCATGCAGGGTTGCACTTAGAGCTCTAAGAGTATTTATAGTTTTTTAGAAACTGGTAGTCACTGCACTAATCCTTGTGATATAATTTTAAAGGAAAATGGGCGATATTGTTTCCATTTTTGCATTTATGCGTTACTTACACAAAACAAATTTATTCGTTTCATATGTAAACCAAAGTAATACGTATATGTCGGTGTGAACACTACTTGTCGTTAAAAATCAGTAAACATACTTCATGTGTTGGTATAAGCATATGTGTAAACGCATTCTGAAACACGTTTCACATAGAACACTACAGAGTTGCGTCATATAAGTTCTTAACAAATAAGTATTTATTGAGCAATCAAGCTATTAAACATGTTTAGTGGCTTGTAAGCAATGTTGATGTAAAGAACAGGGTCGTTATTGAGATTAATTTTATGCAGTTTATGTATTCTATTGACTTTAAAAAGGTTTTATCAAATTTTTTCTTATATCTAAATGAATTTTCATCTAACTTGCTACATCAGAGTTTCTGTGAAATCTATTTTTGCTTTGATTATAAGACTAGGATAGATAAATACATAAATACAAGTTATCTCATATACTCTAGTCATGCTGCTAGCTGTACAGACTTCACCAAGTGCTTATTAAAAAACTTGAAAACTTTTATAGTTTTTATATTTTTACTGAAGAAATGCTTTTTTTTATCCACCCGAAGGAAAAATAAAAAGTTTCCACCATGCTTCTTCGTTTTTTCATTTTACTTTTTGATTGATTTTTCTCATTTGAGCCATTTTTGGAAAATTAATGATTTTTATCTAAGTAACTTAAATCCCCAGTTGATCTTTAAATCTTGTTAGCTTTTAATACCCAAAAATAATCAAAAAAAGTAAAAATAAATTGCATGTAGTGTTGAAATAAAAAAGTTAATAATAGAAAAATAAAAGGAAAACATTTAATGCTTTTTCGTAAAGTACTTTTTTTATTGCCTAAATTTCATTGCTATAATTTAGTTTGCATCTTTTGGTGGAGAAAAAAATTAGGAGCTTAAGAGATAGCGATTGTTGATTGAGTTTATAGCATTTTCGATGAAATGTTATTATGCGAAATGAAACCGAAAAAGTAAAAACCAATCAAATAAAGTACATAGGCGCATACTTATAATATTCACCCTACTCCATAGATATACGATACTATAGCTTTGGTTCACTAATATATATATATATATAGCATTTTTTTAGACCAAAAAAATAGTATTTCAAATAGTTACGTTACAAGATACAATTTTACTTTTTATAAGGAAAAAGTAATCAGGAAGTACCGAAAAAAATCAAAAAATTTATCTTCTAAACATTTATAATACCCGTTCTGCTTATATCTTGTTGCTACAGATGCTTGAAAAAGTCGTATATGATGGACTCCCTCAAAAAGCTTTGACGTTTATTTGTTTTCTACGTGCAGTTCTTAGTTTATACTTTTAGTAAATCTTTGGAATTTAATATAAAGCCAACTATAATCAATAATTAGCTGAGCTCAGCTGATTACAGCTCATTCCATGCTTTTCGCATCAATCAGGGCTAGCAATCAAATATATTAGTTTTTCTCGATAACTTTTAATGCTTTAACATTAGTTATTGCAGGTTGGATTAGGTTATTGTAGCAGTCGGTTTAGATAACCAATTAACTTCGAGCCTACGGTTTAACTGTTTTTAATTCTAAAATATCTGAAAACATAATCACATTAGAAACTCACTCTGCTTCTAGCCATGATTGAGCAGCTACAGAAATCTCTATAAGAAAATTAGACTGTTTCTTATACTATTTTCTCCCTACAACTTCTATAGTACCCACAAGAACGTACTCCTATTCTGTCTTAATGTAAGGTAATGTACATTTAGATCTGATATATTATTAGAATGAAAAAATAGATTCATTGATAAATTAAATATAATAAATTGACTTACAAATTTCAACAGATTGAATATTGCAGTAAATTAAATACTAAATATAGTTATTTATATTTCTCTGATGAACATTTACCTTCATTAATATTCTACCTGACACTAGTAAAAATAGATATTCGCTCACAAAAAAAGTACTCTTTTAAAATTAGGATATTTCTTGATTATTTCTATAAGATAGAAAAGAATGCTTTAAAATGTGTAATGTCCACATCAACACACAGTAGTCAAGTTATATCTTTGAAAACAATCAATACATAATATTATTGATCGAGTTAGTAATATTCTTAAGATAAAGATATCAAGTGGAATCGCTATTATTTTTGATTTTTCCAAAATAGCCATATGTTTTCTTTTTCCATTTTTAAATTCACATATAACATATTTTATATTATATTTTATATTACTTTTAATATCAATTTTCATATGCAGGTTGGCTAGAACCACTATTAGATCGAATTGCTAGGAACTCAACAACGGTTGTATGCCCCGTTATTGATGTTATAGATGACACTACATTAGAATATCACTACCGCGACTCAGGTGGTGTGAACGTCGGCGGTTTTGATTGGAATTTACAATTTAACTGGCATTCAGTACCAGAACGAGAACGAAAAAGACATAAGGTAAGTCCATAGAATGTATAATATCAGAGATAAAATAAATTTTATTTTTATCTGTGCTAATATTAAACTTTTAACTGAAATGAGCATCAACATATTTGGTGAAAAATAAAAAGAATTCAAATACATTTTTTGTGTGTATCAAAAATAAACTCATTTTCTTAAGTATCAAATAAAAGAATTTCAAAGTGAACTTAAAGTTAATCCAAATCCACATGCCACATGCCAATAAAAATTCTTTACACGTATTCAAATCCTGTATCACATTAACTAAATATTTTCTTTTATGAAAAAGTTTTTATCTTATGTACTCTCACATGCATACATCCACAAAAAAACAGATGAAAAAAAAACAATCCAAACGTTTTCCGGCTTTTTGTTGAAGGACTTCCGTTGAATTTCTTTTGAAAACATTGCAGATAAAATAGCTAAGACAGGAAAACTAATATTGTTACAGCTTCGCAGGATAGTTGGAAAAACAAAAAAATAGTTGAGCGTTATTTGCGTACGCATGAGTCTGAAATTTTAGGTTTGCGGATAAAAGGACTTTGAGCACATAAGTACGCCCGCCCATCATGTCATTTCGAATTTACTCTATACGTTCGAAGTGTGGGTGGGTGCGTGTATGGCTGAATGCGTGCCATGGCACTTTATTCGGTGTAACGTTAAGACTCATGCTTTGTATGAAACAAACTCGATTGTATTGTAAGCGCCGAAACGTGAATATTTTGCACAAATTCTAGTTGGGTATTAGAAAAATCCGCTGAAAATAGTGAAACATTGAATTTCATGAAACTATGACAAAGTCGCTTTGTTGTCACAATTTCCCTGCAATTTGACTCTGGAAAGAATGCAGTACAAAGAGTTAGAAAAGTAAAGTAACTTACAGGATATCACTCTATATATAGTAATTGTGTGATAAAACGAAGTATCGGAAAATTGAATATTAATGTTATAGTATTAACACCATGAAGTTCCACTGGAAAGTAACTACTAACCTAAATTAAAATGATGCTCTCAAGAACCAATGGGATTTTGGGATTAAAAAATGAGCTATATAGAATGCTAACTTTATTTCAAAGTATGAATACATTCTTTTACCACTAAAGGCGCTAAGTTTTTATTAAATTAATAAAAATATAAATTATAGTCAAACTTCTATAACTCAAACTTCTATAACTCGAACTAAAAATAGTGCAACAGCGTCTTAGAGTGCATACATTACATACATTTCTGCTTCCTTAACTCGAACTTCTGTAACTCGAATTTCTTTAGAATTCGAATAAAAATATTGTCACGTGCCAATAGGAATATGGGAAAGTGCATTCTATAAGTCGTATTTTTATTACAAGTATAAATCCATCTAGGTGTGAGGGGAAGTCCCTTTTTCCAAATCAAATGTTTCAATTCTTTCTTTCTTATGTTGCTTCTTTGTGCAAATGCCAGTCCCTGGCAAGTGGTAGTCAAACGATAACGTGCTGCTTTTTTGGTCAACTTTCTACATGGGACAAACAGGACCACAATCCTTTAATTTTCTTGTAATAACATTGATAAAGACCGTGAAATGATGTGAAAGCAAAGTAAATAAAATAACTTCCGATGCTACTCTAAACTATGATATTATATAGAGCTTGACAATGAAATTTGTACATCAAGCTTTCTTACAGCTGACGATATTATTGAGCATTATAGCTCTATCTCATTATAAAGGATACGATTCTAAGCACAACGAAAAGTGATGATGAGGGTTCGGTGGATGAAATTGTTCATTAGCCTTCAAAAATGAAGTAGAAGACTCATTCAATATTCAGAATATTTATTTACAAACGAATGATACTACTACTTTAATCACACTTGATCACTTTTAGAGTTCAAATAAATTCGAATCTCTTTTTACTAAAAATAAGAAAAAAAATTAAAATCTTCATTATAAATTCTACTCTGTACTTGCAAATAAATTAACATCTTAAAATGTAATTCTACTTTCTTTTAAAAATAAAAATGCTCTAACTCGAAGTCTGCATAAGTCGAACCTTTTCTTTGCGAAATGGTACTTCAAGTTATGGAAGTTTGACTGTATTAGTTATTCTGTAATTTTAAATATTATGATGTGCAAGTATTTTTACCGTGATTCTTATATGTAATATACCTATTACATATTTCTAATGGTTCATTTGATTTTTATACTCGTAGTTATTGTTGTTGTTTTACTATTTCCACTCACTATAAGCTTCTGCATTTTGCTCATGACAAAATATTTGATTTCATGCATTAAGCCCGAAATACCTTCACACAGTCGTACGCAAATGTAAGGTGGCAGCACTACACATTAAACAAACACTGAACTAGTTTACATGTATGTAGCATTTGCAATGTTAGCAACAGAAGTGTTCGTGTCCACAGAGATGGTGTCTGTATGTGTATGTGTGTTGTACTACGTTGTGTTGCGTGTGTGCGCTGTGTTGCGTGTATTGCATGCGTCAGGATTTCTATGAGCTTTTGTGCTTATGTTGAAATTTTATTGGAAAACTTTTGTGGTTTTATGAGTTCAGGACCAAATGCCTAATCGTGTATATGTACTTTGTGCGTTATGCGTTATGCGTTGTATAACATAATATGCGTGCAAATGCGTTTTATTCTAAGTCTACCTTAGAAAATACACACTAGGATTTGTGTATTTTCCATTGAGTTGTGCATTATGCTTAGTTTCAGGGTAATTGGTTTAATACTCGGTCACAATATTCAAGTACAGTAAACCCCTCTATAACGCGGTAGATTGGTTCCGGGTATACAGACGGAGCTAATTATCAACTTTACAAATCCCTGCATTATGTGGGGGAATGCCCGTTTTATACGGGGGATTGAAATCCCGTAACATGAAAATGCGTAACATGAAAAGGGTGCCGCGTTACAGGGGGGTTTACTGTATTTGGTACCATATGAGTTTCATTCGTTTCTGTTTTGGCTGTCATAAGTTCTTTGGCTTTTTATATTATACAATATTTTATATTATTTTAACCTTTTTGTAACACAAAAGTAAGCACTTCAGTAACGGACACAGTGAACGGAAGCATAAAATAATTTAAAAAACTCGCAATGCGATAAACTTTCATTTAAGCGCGAATCATAAAAAACAAAACTATTATTATTTATATATAGTTTTTCCCTGAGGAATGCCAACAACAAATAACAATTTTTTTTAGTAAGAAAAAATTATTGTATAAAGCATAAAACATTTTCACAGCTGTTTTATTAATGTTGGGGAAAAACCATTTACAAATTTTATAGGCGCAAGCGTCGTTGCCGGATTTTGTTTAATATTGTTGCCATAAAGGTTAACATCTACTATTGTTGCTAAATTCTGTTAATAGTTTCGCTGTAAATCTACCAATATCTTGACAGAAGAGCAGCAGCTGCAATTGATTTTCCGTAATATATTTAATGCAATTTAATATTTGGGAAATAGTTTTCCATTTCTTCCTCGATATTGAAAGCTTAAAGTTTTGTTACTAAAGTTAATAAAATTCCTAGAAAAACTCAACTAAAAGTGATTGTATAAGTTTTGTTGCGGATGCAAAATCATAAAAATATTTAATGTTTTTTATATACAATTTAAATACAATAACTTTGATTTTATATTCACTTTATTTTCAATATAAAAGTTTTTCAATATATGTTAGGATAAGTAGAACTTCACAATTCAATAACTTGAAGTTGCTCCTCCGCTTGTGCTGTGGCAAAGAATTTCAAACTTGTTGAAAACTTAATGTAAAAAATATGCAAACTCAAATCCAAATCCAAAAATTGTTTGAATTTGTTTGTTTTTTTTATAGAATCTTTTATTTTGAACATATTCTCGGGTCACCAAAAAAGGAACAAATAATTGTAGTAATTATTCTTTGCCGTAATTTAAAGTTCAAACGCATAAGTTTTACAACTTTGGTCACTTTTAACCTCAATGGTAATAGATAATATGATTCTTTTTTTGCATAAGAAGAAAATTAAATGATACTTTTTGGCAGAATGTGTCCTAAGTTTGAAATAGTTAGAGTTTTTGTGCAGAAGTATAATTTGATGAACTTAAGAAGAGGAAAAGTAACCAAGGATGTTAATCGTCTAGCCGAAGCAACTGTTGAATATTAATTGCTGTATAGACAGGTCATTGTCTGGTCGCATCATACGCGCACAAACTAAACCCTATTCACAGCGATGCTTCTAGGAAATGCAACGAGCTGGATGCAAAGGAAACATTGGAGCATCAGCTGTGTAACTGCCCGGCTCTCTCGAGAACTCGACAAAAATACTTGGAGTCAGTTTTAACGGACTGGAGCACATACCTGAGGTTTCTGTTGAAATTCTAATAAAATTCGATAATTACATGCACACAATCGCTAAAATATAAGACTCTGATCTGGTATCGCAATGGACCTTAACGGTCTACGTGTTGCCTGTTTGAACTACCTTCATAACCTAATAATTTAAGGAGCTCTAAAAGTAGAGTGAAGTATGAGAGTAAATTAACTATTATTGAAATTAGACTCCTGTAGATTGTAAGATTCGTTAAAAAGACCACTACCTTCAGGAAAATAATACAAACAGTGCACTCACTTTTGAGTGTATCCGCGAACACAAACTCTAAACATTTTTTGAATTGTTTCGGAATTTTTTAATATACTGTTCGTTTAGTGTTTACTGCTATCAGAAATGACAAACAGTACACTACCACATGTTCGGTACTTTAGTGTTCTTTTTTGTTCACTGCTACAAAAATGTAAATTACTATGATAAATGCAGTAGTGTTTTTCATTCTAAGAGTAGTAGGAAAAGCAAGAGGAGCAGTAGGAAAAATTGAATTTAAATTATAAAATTAAATTAAATTAAATTTAAATTAAATTAAATTTAAATATTACTTTCTAACAGTGAACCTAATTTAATCGATTAGTGTTTCAAGATGTTGATTTTAATTACAGCCTGTGGTTGATACTTCCACAGTCATTTTCTTT